CTACACCTCCACTCCTCCTCTCTCTCTCTCTCTCTCTCTCTCTCTCTCTCACACACACACAATTAGGTTGCCATTGGAAATGGAGAGAAACGATAGGTTACCATTAGAAATGGAGAGAGTAACGATGTCGTAAACGTTAAGCTACTGGTTTATTATGAGTTTTCCTTGTGCAAATCTCAAGAAACTCAATCCAACGACTAATAGGGTGGGTCCCATACAGCCATCCATGTGTGAGGGACCTATACGATCCTTTCCTCCAAAAAAATAAAATAAATAGAGAATTAAATGAAGAAAATAAACAAAACTGAGCATAGAAAGAAATACTTACGTTCAGGGACCCGAAACCAGGCGTTTCGGGCTAAGATCAGTTCGCTCTTCTGATTTGAGCCACTATCTCCTTTTTGGATCTCTTTTGCATGCTAGAATTGGTAAATCTAAGGTTCTTTTCACATATATCTAGGGTTCCTAAGGCTACGGAAAAAGTTCAAGATTTTAAGTACGATCTACCTAGGCATTTTTTTGGGTTTGAAGGAAGACTTTCTTAATTTTCTAAGGTTTTTGGTATCTTCTAAGGTAAAATCCAAATTTTAAAAATTTCGGTGTTTTTTTGGGATTTTTCAAGATTTTTCCTAATTTTTTATGAATTTTCTAAGGCTTTTATCTAATTTCTGATATTTTGGGGGTATTTTTCCTAATTTTGAGATTTTTTCCTATTTTCTAAGTATTTTTGCATGGTTTTTTAGAGGTTTGAGAGGGGGTATTTATAGGTTTGAACTAGGGCTACGGTTGAAATTAGTTGTTGTAATCTCATAGTTCAATTAGGATTAGGCTTGGGTATTTTTCTTGATTTTTTCGGATATACAAAAATAAATCAAAACAAGCTTAAAACACATACTGGTCCATCAGACCGCGTAGCGCGTCACACATTGACATGTGTCCAGCCATGGCAGGGACTAAATTGTCATTTCCTTGAACAAATTCCCCCAAGCCATAACTTTCTAACGATAAGTCTAATTCAGACGATTCTTGGACAGTTGGAAAGCTCGCGACCTTCTTTATAATTTGAAACCAAATTTGGTCAAATTTGAGATACTTTTGAGTCAACAAGGCTAGGACTTTAGGGTCTCGCTTTCAGGTTTTCTGGATGTCCAATTGGTGTTCGGGTCAGTTTTACGGGTTCACAAGGCTTGTGGGTGTCTAAGGTGACTATGTGAGAGTACCAGTATAGGCTTTAGGTAGTACAATTGTACTGGGTTTAGGTTGCATATAGTTTACTAGGGTTTCTGTGGTCCTTTGAACTTAGAATCAAGGTTTTCAAGAATTCCCTTAAACAGAATTTTGAGAGGGGTGTCTACAGGTGCCCCTCTTTGGCCTTCACCTGGGGTATCAAGTGAATGGCAAAAAGTAGACACCTGGGATACAATGGAAAGGAAACTTTTTCTAAGGAGTCAATCCTTTGAATGACTTGTACCGTTTGGGTAGACGGTACGCCGATGCATGTTTTTCATCCGTAAAACATCGAACTGGCACTACTATCTTTGAGTCAGTGGCGTTGAGAAGTCTCCTGACAATCGGGATCCGAAATGACAATCAACTGGAATCGTGCTATCTTTGAGTCGGTGACACGCCTTGTAGTCACCCCAATGCTACATGGGACGTCAGTGCAGTCATCTTCAACTTTAGACCTTTTTCTTGAGGTCTAGTTTTTCAATTGAATGGGATTTGGATTTAAAAGAAATGATGAATTATTGAATAGTTGAACTTTTTGTTCGCCTTTGATTCTAACTCTTGGGATCCACATGTTCAAGTTTGTGTTTTGGGAACCTATGGGTTGGTTTTTCTTTCCTAAAGGTTTGCAAGCATGGCAATCCAGGATTTGGTGGCGATAGAAACATCATGTCCAAGCCTCTTTGAAACTCCTTTGTTTTCTAAAAAAGTTTAGAAAAGTTTTGAAGATAAGTAGGATTTTGAAACAGATACAGAGTTCCAAGCTACTTTTTAACCAAAGAAATTACAATTTTTGAAAACTTCACAAGAACATGTAGGGGAAGTTTTGAAGAGAGGAATAATTTCAAAAAATATGTTTGGTAAGCAGTTTAGGCTCATATTACCATGGAGCTTTTTTCTCTCTTCTTTTTTTCTTTTTTTTTTCTTTGCAAGTATGAGCTTGTCAAGCCTCTGCTTAGGACCTTCAGGACAAGGAATCATTGGGTACTTCCTCATGTTCTAATCTTCGGCTCTTATGCTACAACTCAAGGGAGAGTTTTTCTTTGAAGTTTCTGAGCCAGCAGGTGTCTTAAATAATGTGGAATACTGCCTCTGAGTGCTCAGAATCTCCTTGGACTTCCAATTTTGTTCCTCCCTCCATTACCGACCCTTTGAAGTTCAAATAGTCGCGGATCTTCAAATTTATTCAGCCCGATGCCTCCATATTTCTTTGCTTTCTAACACCATTCTGACTTAGGAAGAGAAGAATTTATATAGATTTTTGGAGAAGAGACAAAAAGGTAGAAGCTCTTTCTTTTTTTTTCTTTTGTCACCTCAAGGTCCCTTTCAATTGTTCAACCCAGTGGCCATTTTCCCGACGCTCGGGGTACCTTTCGGATTTTTAACCCAACGGACTTATTCTTATTTTCTTTTTACTTTTCGAAGAAGATGAAGGAGGAAGATAAGAAGAAGAGTTAGTGGTGTTATTCCTTCTTAGCACTTTGTCCCAAAAACAGACAAGAACTCGATAATCCTTCCTTCTTCCAAGTGGCAGGGAGGTTCTAGTCTTGGTTATCTTCGGATTTTCCTTGCCCCAAGTTGGTATCCAACACTTCTTTGACTATGGTTGTTGAATTTTTGTTGAGTCTTTCTTCCTTGAATTGCTTCACTCGACCTTGTCTTCAAACTTAGGGTCACTCTCAACTTCCTAGTCCTTCTATCTCTTGCTTGGTTGGTTAAGCTCATTTTCTTCTTTTCTTTTCTTTTTTTTTCTCTTTATTACTGACTCCTCAAGCTACTAATGCCACAGAGTAGAATGCCTAAGCAGAGCATGAATGCCCCACTTGGCTTATTTTGAAAGGTAGGAGCAGGCGATCACCTTACTCCTTTTCAATAATCGTTTTCTTTTGCAACTTCATGTTGCTCTTAGGGAGTTGATGGCCTTGAGGTATGTTGGGAGTCATCGGATAAGATGTGGGCCTCACCAATTGCCCCTGCTATACTCATTATTGGATAGAGGTGCCCTTATCAAGTAGTTTGGTGGGGTTACCCTTGTAGGGTCTTCTCCATCGAATGAGATCGTCCCTACGATATGTTGAATGGGACAATCTCTACAGAGTTTTCATCATTAGGGGGATTCCTATCAAGCTGGTGATGGGATTGTCTCGGCTAGATCTTCTTTTTCCTCTTGAATATGGGGTGCCTCAAGTAGTGGAGTCGTGCCCCTGCCCCCTGCCCCTATCTTCTTCTTGGGGTTCTGCATCGCAGAAAGGTGGGTTATCCAAGAAATTTAGTGAGAGCGGCCCAGGTGATCCCCTTAGAACTTCTAGGGGTTCTAACTCTCGCAGAGGTGATGAATATTTAAGAATGATCAAATCTGGGCTCAACTCTTCATCCCAAATCAGTGGATCATTGAAGAAATCTGGTGAAGGTGGTCCAAGTGAACCTCTACGAATCTCCAAAAGGTTGAGGGGTTAAGTGTTCTTTCGAACTTGAATATTTTTTCCCTTGGTCTTCTCCAGTTGATGTATTCTGACTGGCATCACGTGGGACTACATGCTCATTTACTTCTTCAAAGATTGGAGTTTCTTCTGTAGTCTCAAGTCTAAGGCATTCCCCATTTCTACGGCCTTGGGAATACCTAGCCATGGAAATTCAGGTGGACTCGTTGATGGCTTAGACATCTTGCAGGTCTTCTTTTGCACTTATTTGGAATATGGGATTGACTAGATTCTCTACATTTGTGGTGATATGCATCACACGGATGTCTTGATCCTCTTCGGTCTTCCGTAGGACAATATCTTCAATTGGAATCGTGATTCTCTGTGAAAGCATGCACAGCTCTCCAATAGAGAACAACTACATACTAAGTTAATGATCAGTGCTTGCCAGTTTAAGTTTGCTCTAGAAGTATCCTAGAAAAGGGCCATGAACATAAAGCAGTAAACAAAACATCGTGACCATTGCCATGACCAAAAGACTCCCGAAATGCAATGAACACTTTGAAATTCTTCTCCAATTGCTTTTGTTACAAAGAAACCACTTTGAATTCCAGAAAAGAATATGGAAGTCTAGAAGTTACCCGGAAACTGTATTAATGCTTGAATAGCCGCATTCTTCTCAAAAATAGCAACCTTTTGAACAAGACCAAAGGCTGAAAACACCTGTCCCCATACACATACACACACACACACACACACACAGTCAATTATGATGCAATAATAGTTTGTTAAATTACTGGCTAAAACTGTCTCAGATTAGACATCACAATACCGCACGTAAGACATCCGCTGTAACTGCATATTGCATGTTCTCAATGGATGCAAGAAGAACATTACTTTCCATCTCTCTTTTTTTACCATCAGGTCCTATGGTATACTGCACACATTAAATCTAACAATTATAAGTACTGCCCAATAATAAGATGCAGCTATGCAGAACTAGCAGGTTGAACCGCTATGTCTGACACAAGGAGTTCCAAAATTAAAACTCACCTGACCAGTAGCATCAATGGCCGAGGGAGCAACAGGCAGGTAAGGATTTGTGTAGTCCCTGACATTTAAAGCATAAAGAGTTACCATACATTGCAAAACCATACAAAGAGTATTCCAAAGTGATTTTTATGAGACATCCTTTCAGATGTAATAAAAACCAGAACAAAAGAGAAAAGCAGAATGACAAGCAGAAAGACAAATTCGCAAATTTAGCAAAACAACCCTAAGACACCACTGATTGAGAGTCTAACAACTGTAAGAGGGGATATAAATATATAAATAAATAAAACATTTTTTTTTGAAACGCAATAAATAAATAAAACGAAAGAGTCTTTTCTATTTACAAGCCATAAAGCATTGATGAGAAAGGATGACCAATATAATTAATCAACAGAAACATCAGCAAAAAATACAATGAAGTTGATCAACTGGTAATCTGTTGGTTCTACCAGTAATCAGTTGGTTCTACCAGAGAGATTCAAAACCCATGGTTAACATTGTTGTCAGTTGCCATTTTGTTCAGTTGATGTACTGTTGGTTAACAAAAAGAGGAGGGTTCAAAACCCGAAGCTAAGATCTTCATCAAGATGCTTTCATCACGAAAGAGAATGCCAAGCATAAATAAAATCCCATGGAGCCCCTAACACATGCAGGACATTAGAGAAAGAAGAGCCATGTACTGCAAAAGACATTAAGGACCCATCAAGCTAAAAGCATAATTATCGTAAAAGCTCAATTGAGTAGGAATCTTCTCGGACCAGTCAGAATCCTCCCAGGAAATATTGGAAACCAGTATTAGTGTCATCAAGCCCCTCAAAAGAACTCTTCCCGGGCCATTAAGTTTATGCATACAACTACTTCAGTTCAGACATGGAAAGGCAAGAGAAACTTCCTGACCATAAAAAGAGATATTGTTTAATTCTAACCAGTGCTCCAAAAGGTAGATTCGGGCACATAGGAAGGCACGTGACGGGGGTGGGGGGGAGGAGAGAGAGAGAGCAGGTTTTCATGCGAGTGTAAATGTGAGGCCTCACATCGAACACTAGGAGTCCATATTCTTCTTTTTCTTCTTCTTATATGTAGACTGGGAGAGGGCTCGCATCAAACACTTGAAGATCGTCTTCTTCTTTATCTTCTTCTTATATATATAGAGAGACAGATAGAGCATTCAGGTCCATATGTGTGTGAGAGAGAGATGCCTCACATTAAACACTTGGAGGATGTCTTCTTATTTCTCTTCTTACATGTAAAGAGAGAGAGAAAGGGCATGTGGGTCTGCGAGAGAGAGAGAGAGGGGGAACTCACATCCAGCACTTCGAAGCCATCGATTTTTGCTCTTCATGTAGGTAATGAGAGAGAGAGTCTGACTGCCTAGGCAGGTGCCCTAATACCGAGCCCCTATTCGGTTCGGAAAGCCGTCTAAGGCAAGCCTAGTCAGTGCCTAGAAGCCTAGGCAGGCTAATTTTTGTTTACTGCTTGCAACTCAGCGCACGACAACATCAGCTAACAATGGTGCCAACCATGTAGTTTTACTGGCAACTGGATACCAGATCTTCATTGAGATGCCACCTTGGCATTCTCTCAGTCATCACCTACTTTTGAGGTACTTCCAAATATTCTGACTAGAAGTTATTTAGCAAAATAACAAAAATCAGCCACCTGACAAGGAGACTCATTCCAAAAGTATTCATGCTTTTTATAAGATCCACATATGAAGCTAGTCTGAAGTAGCTCAACTGACGGCTTCCTATGTGCATGTAGGGTGAGGATCCAAACATGAGATTGCAATCCTTCAAGGAGACCATATTTTTTATTTTCCTCTACATGATATTAATGTGGTAATTGCTAATTAACACGAAGTTCAAAAGGCTAAACTCATTTCACAGGCAAAAATGACACTCATAGAAAGATTGAACTGAACATAATATTGGATTCAGGACGAGTATGAATTCTACAGATGATCTGGGAGAAGATCAAAGAGAATGATGTTAGCATGTTCAGCTAGAAGTGTAATGGGTACATAATAAGATGTGCAACACTTCTTACTTAGGTGATTCAATTCTTTCATGTTGAAATTAGTTAATTTATGAAAGAATGACACGACCCATTGCTTTGAACTTGAAATGCAAGTGACAAAAGAAAAGGAAATGAAAAAGGGGAAACAAATGGAAATCAACTGGAAACTCATGGACATAGATCAAGTATGGTATATGGCACTATACCCTTGATGGCAAAGTAGATGCATATAAAAATTTTCTACTTTCTCTTCTTTTGAGAATGTTGACGTCCGAAGTTTCTGGCTTTATTGGTTTATGTACTATAATATTCTTCATTTCTTTCTCTCAAACGAAGACAACATTAAAAAATATAAATTTAACAATATACAAATATCTTTCTAAACAAACCAAAACCAAGCGAGAAGTTCAATGCACCACATAATCATCCACATGAAAAACTTCTTATAAACCAAATGCAGCAGACGAATGGAGGACAAAAAGTTTTATCTACTAAGTAGAAAGTAAATATCACAATGCAGCGTATACAGATTAGCATTTAAAAACGTAAAATAGCTTTAGATTCTTTGCATTTTGTGGTACTACAAGAAAAAGGCCTCAAAGCATCAAAGAATAAGCTTTTCTGGTAACAAAATAAATATGAGGACAAGCAGGCAATGCAGAGACCAGCAGACACCATGAATTATAAGAGTAACTAGCTGAGATCATACATGAAACTAGCATAGAGACATTATGAAAATTCGCAGCTTTCTCAAGATGGTGATACTTTTGAGAATACTCTGAGGAAATTAGCGAAGCAGATGGATTGAAAATAGAAGGGGTGATGCGGTGGCATTGTAATAAGAGAGTCCTTGAACCTGGGATGAGCACTACGATATTCCTTCTACCATACCTTGTGTTGTTTTTCACTTTTTCTCTTCTCCATTTAGAGCATCCCTTTCAGTTTCCTATTAAGTATGCATCTCCATTGCCTTAACTTTCAGTGTGACTAGATGGATGCAGCTTTCTTCCAATGCATCATAAATAATTAGAAAGTAATTATAAGAATTTACTTCTTTTTTATAACATAATTATGGAAGTCATACGGGATTAATAGGGATGATCATTGTCAAACTCATATTAAAGCAGAATTCAAATGGAAGTATAGGCACTAAACTTATCCAACGAATAAAAGAAACAAGGGGCCAACTGTACATTATCCAAAGTACCTGCTTCGATGACTCTGAAATTTCACATTAAGGTCCGTATGTGCAGAGAAAGTTATTCTTAGGGTACATGGTCCAACATGCTCCTGAAGTAAGTATCTGCAATTTTTGGCAAAATGGGTACTACTTAAGAAAAAATATTGGTTCACACAGACATTATACAATAGGGACAAGCAACCTACACATCACCTGGGAATGCTTCTCCCATCCAATGCATTTTTTGCAGCAGCTGCAGTTTCTGAATCGGAGAACTGCACCAATGCCTGAAATGAAATCATGTTAAGAGTATTATTAAAGGAACAACTAAATTTGTGAGCTGCCTTTGTAAAACCTCCCAAATCAATGACCTGGAAACCAGCAGTCTTCTCAAAGGTAGCTATTTTATGTACAAAACCAAAAGCTGAAAATACCTGCATCACCATAAAAATAAATTAAGAGTTAAATTTTGCCAAATACCAAACTTTGCTTTCACATATACAAAATAGAAAAGCTAAGATTCTCGTCCTTTGATAGGTTACTGGAAAATTGTCCATAAAGAAAGTACCATCCACCCAGGCTAAAAAACAATGACTTTACCAACACAAGGACATGGCTGACAGCAATTATAAACTTCATAATGTAGTAATTGTTTTAATAAATTCAATGATTTCACTGGGTTTTGAAGAGAATGTAATAAAATGTAACAATCCTTAAATAATAAAAGGGGAAATACAATGCCGAAATAATACATAGGGAAATTTCAAAAAAAAAACCCATGTGTCGCTCATTTGGAGAACGCAGCAAACAGCAGATCACAATAAATGAACAATGATGCAACCATTAACGGAATACAACAACCGACAACAGTATCTGTTAAAATTCTTGATAGGCACAGCAATATCTAGATAACTGAATGACATCAGCTTGGCCAGGCTTCAAATATTGATAAGAAATGGCAGTTTGTGAAGCTGTGCCTCAAAGAATAAAGTGAACATGTTTTGGGATTATGGCGAAGAAGGAACCCTGCTTTGGAAGGAATAGTTGACTAGGGTATCAAGGAGTGTTCGGGACTCTCTGAGGTGTGGCCTAGGTGCTGGGAGGTTTATGAATAGTACAGCTCATTGTCCAAACAAGAAAATATCAGTTGGTAGCAGACGTCCAGATACAATTCTCAAGGAAAGGGACCATAACACCTCCCATGAAATCACCTGAGGCCCCAAGAGGGGTCATTCAACAGCCTCCATCCATGTGGACGAAAGGAGTTACCAGAAGCCATCCATGGTTGAAGAAGCAATTGTGGAGTCTTTGGGCACCTCATCTCAGTAGGTAAGTGGAGGTAGAAGCTTGGTCACTAGCAATAGGACTAGGAGGCATTTTAAACTGCGTTTTTCTCTAGAGGTGTCAGGAAAATGGGGACTTCACCCCATTGCCTTCTTCAGTTGTGTAAGGAGTTAAGTCATATTTGATTGAGGATAGGGTGTAATTCTCCCCAAGGAAAAGGATTAACTGAGAGATGAACTCAGCTTTGATAAATCTCTAATAATGCTGCAATAATACAATAAAATATCCCATCTATAATACATGATAATGATATTTGTGACTACGCCAGGATGATCTAGTTAAGATTTTAAACTCTTCTAAGACTAAATTCTTGTGATTGCTATTTGTACCCATGTTTTTGCTTTCTGTGCCATGTAAAGATGGAAATTCTAGACACTGGGTCTGGATAATCCCACCCATATTTTGGTGCAATAGAAAAACAACAGATACGGAGATCAAATAACATAGGCCGCTTTCCCCATTTTTATCTTTTTGCTTCTCCTCAGCCAGTAGGTTATGTAGGGAAAACATCCGAAATACTTTTAGACGGATAAGAAAACATAGATAAAAGAATCGCCATTCAAGACTGCAACTGTCAGAAACAATAAGAGAAACAATGATCTAGAGGTTATAAGTCACCTATAACTAATCAAGCATTCAAATTACGGGGTGTTAGTACAAGCCACCTATAACCAATCAAGCATTCAAATTACGGGGTGTCAGTACAAATCTTGTGGACTAGGCATCCACAGATATAGGCAACATGTTGCCAGAGAGAATTTGGAGAAAATAACACACTCAATCTGTCAGCCAGCAAATGCTTAAATTTGTAACCGTAGCAAGAACAGAAATGGGAGCATTAGGGGCAAATTTTTAGAAAAGAGAAGCAAAGGGACAAACATTGATCTAGAGATCTGAAACCACCAATAACTAATCAAATCAGAGAGAAAAAACAGTGCCAAGAAATAAAGGATTCAAATTGCAGGTGTCTGCACATTCTTGCAGACTAGGCTTTTAGGTTATAGGCAACTTGTCACCTGAGAGAATTTAGAGAAAATAGTACCCTCGACCTGTTAGCTAGCCAATGCTGAAATTTACAGATGTAGCAAGAACAGAAATGGAAGCATTAGGAAAAAATTATAGAAATGAGAGTATTATGGGATAGTTAACAAGCCAATGCATTTATGTTGAGAGAAGGCCTCAACTCTTATTTAAGCATTTTCTCCTCATTTTTCATCAATGTTGACACTTTAGATGTCATTTTGTATGTTAAAGTGATGGATTTTTGTCGCATATTGCTAGTTTCTCTTTGAATATTATGCATAAAAAATGAATTAAGATGCAAAACACCTTTCATAAATGAAGATTTAACAATAGGATAGACAACAAGATCGATTTAAGTCTACCATCAGAACACATGACAATGTGAAATCATTAGATGAAAATTATATTAATTTTGTTAAGGAATGCATGTGTCAGTTCACATAGGATAACATACACAAGCTCAATCATTAAGCGAATGTCATAAAGAAAACCATGATCAATGATGAGTAAAGAATTTAGCGAACACAGACATGAAAGATTTAAACTCTGATTATTAAAGAATTTAGAGAACACAACCTATAATCTTATGATCAAAGATGGTACGTGCAAAAAAGCATGTACCATCCATTTATTTTTTCTTAGACAAGCATGCTTAGAAAAACACCTAGAAAAAAGTTAAGTCTCCAGTCACATGTAGTTAAAAAACCGGAGCAGTGGACAAGGGAAAGAGAGATAGAGACAGGAAGAAGAAAAGAAGACGAAACTAATGCAATCCTAACTCTTTAGAAGGAAGGATGGGAGTAGGAGTAGGATCAAGAGGAGGCAGGGTTAAGAAAGGGGGAGGAGACAAACACACATGCGCTTTCTCCCGATGAAGTAGGCTGCCAATGAAGATGTTTCCGTGACATGGACCTGCTGATTCATTTAGATTCATGTCAAAGAAAATCCTACAACAGTCAAATCCATGTTTTGAAAACTCAAATCATTTCATAACATTGTTGATAAAACACATCTCCAGGTGGCAAGTATACCTCTCTCTCCTCCATGAATGAGAATGCCAGTCAATGACTTACCAGGTGTAGAACATCAATGCTGACATCCCCTGCTTCAACACCCTCTATTGTTACTAACAATACATTGCTCGGAGTGTCCCCCGTGGTTTTGTTGTTGACAATTTCTTGTCTGTTGGAGTATTGAAGATAGACAGTTTTCCCTCGTACCTGAGCAGGTTCTGACGATGAGGAATAATACGAGATCATTGCAATAGCTTGATTAAGATCTGCCTGTTAAAACATCAAACAGACAAATATAAGTTGTTCTTTCACGAGATTGAACCCAAATCTGAGACTAAATTATTGGCATCAACAGTGAAATTAATGTTTTATGCTTACAAATTCAACAAAGGCTTGGTTCCGATTAGCCCCAACATTACATTTTGTGTTGACAATTTTACCGAACGGCTTTCCAAGTTCAATCAACTCTTCCACTGTACATTCCCATGGCAAATTTCGCAAATGCAGCACCTTAGAAGGCGGTTGTGTGTAACGAAATTGAGGCTGACCCGAGACAGAAGCCATGGTGCTCCCCAATCTACGCAAGGAAATGAAACTAATCAAAGTCAGATATACCAACCTCTCAAATGAAGTTGAAAGAGTGAAATATCATCAAATTTGAAATCTTATATCCTTATAAACTAAAAAACAAAAAAAAAACTAAAACTTCTGAGAAGTTGGAAAAGAACAGACACACGCCTTACAAAATCTTTTAACAAACTTTAATGATATGAATGCACTTCTTCCTTCAAGGAAAAAGAAAATCTAGCTGATTGATACTCATCAGCAGCATAGTGCTGCATAAATGGAGTCAATATTATATTCGGTGTTCAAAAACTTGACTTGGAGGCAGAACTCAGCCCCAGCCAATCTGAGCAACTGGGGCGAGTTTGAGTCGACTCGCCCAAGTTTCTCCCCCAGTAGCCCAAGAACCCGGAAAAATCCCGAAAGTTCAAGAAATTCATGAAAAGTACGAACAAAACCCAAAAACATAGAATATCATAAAAGCATATACAACAAGGAAAATAATATAAATTATATTGAATCAGTCAAAAATACATCAGATATACAAATTTAAATTAAGAATTTGATACTTACACAAAATTTCAAGGCCGATTCTCCAATATTTCTGTTTGGTTCCAGTCGATGCCTCCAGTCTTTGTCAAAGCTTCCTCAAAACCCAGAATCAAGACCTCAACCAGATTTGGGATTTGAATTCAGATCTAGTTGATTCAAGCCTGTGAAATTTTCAGGTGAGGGGAATCCAAAATAGAAATCTCACCAATACAAGATTTTCCATTTTTTATCTCATTTTCCCTTTTTTATCTTATTTTCCCCCTTTTTCGGTAAGAAACAAGGCTAGGATTAGATCAAGAATCCAGAATTAGGCATATTGAACAAATTTCAACAAAGCTCAATCAACCATTGCGAAGAAATCAGAATATTTTGAAATCGGGCAATGCATAGGTCAAACTTTTCTATCCCTTAAATCTACAAATCCGAAATTTTTGCTCAATCTGATCAATCATGGAAAACAACTCTAAGGCCAAAATTTGGAATCAAATCAATGTTCCAAGGGAGAGAGATGAAGAAAAAGGGGGGGTGATTTTGGCCCACCCTTATATTTCAGTTTCAGTGTCAGACTCAGTCACTTTTGATGGACTCGCCAAGCTCGCCCAAGTTTTACAGTTTTCATGCCAATCACTGCTGCAGCAACATGCTGAAGTGATGTAGCAATATGTGAATGTGTGTGTGTATGCCCCCCAAGTTGGGGGGTTATGGGCCCGCGTGTGCCAAACTCACTCAGCCTCACCCAAGTTTGCAAAGACTGCATACATCCTTGTTACGTATATCATAGAAGACTTGAAAGTCAAATTTTACCAACAACAAGCATATTATTCATCATGCACAGCCATTAATATCACTAAGAAATCTACCATTTTAAAAACAATGATACACATGGAGAGTAACAATAAAAAATGTGACAAATCCATTCAGCTATGTATACTTTCTCATCCAAAAAAAAACTGTTTACATGGTACAATAAATCTATTGATGAGAAAGTATAATAGCTGAATACCTTGAATTGATGAGAAAGCATACATTTGTACAAAAAATGTGACAAGTCCATTCAGCTAGAGATCCATATTTCTCATTAGTGGTTACTTTCTTATCATGGTATTTAAATCATAGATCCACACACACGCATGCGCATGAACACTAGCACGTACAGGTGCACAGGCAGGCACACACATGCACATGCACAAACAGATGCGCACAAACACACAGAGTAATGTGCCTTTTAAAATATGATATTATCCTGTTCTGCAAGTATTAATTTATTCTATAGCAGAAGATGTAAAATAGATCTTTCATTCCATTTTATTCATTTGTGTCATGTTTCATTTTTCTCGAGTTTCAATGCAGTATTTTCCTATCGTTTTTGGGCGCATCTGCATGCCACCAAACATGTTTTGGCACTATTGGCGAGGCATTTTAGGAAGTGCTGAGTATGTGGTTGAGTGGCTTATTTGAATGCCACTTTAGAACCCCATTTTGGCGTAGGCACACAAAAAACACAGATATTTTATGAGAGATGAGAACTAACAATATTAGCTTTCATTCCACTTGCTAAATGCCACATTTTGTTGTAACTGAAACAAGCATCCACCAAAACAAATCTGTAAAGGGCTAATGGCAATTCATCAGTAAATCAAAAAGTCAGTATTGATTCAGTTTTGGGAAAAAGACTGATCCAGGAAAAGGTTTGCGATAAGACAAAGTGCTAGAAAACTCGTTAAAGTGGATAAAAGCTTATTGGTCCGGATTTGACACAAAAATCGACGATTTAAAAAGATGGGCATATATATGTGTGCCCAAGGGTACAGCAGGTAACTATATTAATTTCAAAGTAAACAAAATGAAAATTTCAGTTCATTCTGTAATTGCAAATAATGAATCAAATATTAAATTTAATGAGTATAGAATAAGACTATTTATGTTTAGTACAAGGAGGTCACAACTACCGTTGTTTGTTACATTTAAAATCAGACAGTTGGAGACGTGCCATGGATCAAGCTCAAAGTTCAAAAGATAATTATTCGTTCCTTACAACATATCCAAACCTTTAGGATTTGACATCTCACGATTTAAATTGATTTTAACCTCATTATAACTAAAACAAATGGTCTCATAGTATAGAATCCCCATTAAGAATGCCTGGACAGTGCTCAAAGGGTGTTGTATTGAATGACCCACAATTAAATTCATACAATATAGAGCCGAGGCTCTAACCGATCAAAGTAGAGTGCACCTTCAAATAGTATCAAGAAATGTGGTTTCAGGAAATCTTTTTGATAGCCTTAATTATAAAATTTAAAGCTTTAAAAATAGTGTACATCGAGTAGATATATGAAAACTTGAAAATCTTGAAAATTGACGGTCCAAAAATGCGTTACAAGATGCAATATTTCCAAAACTTAAAATCCATTTTTTTCTCATGTCCATGCATGTTGATGTCGAGATGATCAATTTGAAGATATTAGGGCATCAAAACAACCTCTTCAAAATTTTTGATGTGGTCTCTAATTTGATTGTTTACAGCCTCGGCTCTATATAAACTTTTTCCACAACTAAAAAGAACAAATATAAGACAATTTTGAATATTTTTGAAATTTTTTATTTAAAATGACGTAATGCTTCCCTATTATGGTTTGTTCAAAAAACCGAGTTTTCTTAAGTTATTTTGTGAATCACACCTTTTAAAATGCTTTCTTTCTAAAACATCAGGGTAATTTCGAAAGAGTCTCAGGAGGAGTTTCGCTCGCGAAGCTAGGGGTTACTAGCAAATCTGCTTGTTTATGTCATTCAAAGCTTAGGCCAGCAAAGCCCTAAACATAAGTGCTTCAAAGCTTCTCCAAAGCCTTCCAAACTTCAATTTCAAACTTTAATTCGATTAGGCTCTATAGTAACATGAAAATACATCTTCTTGAGGAGTCAAAAACAAGTCATTAACTTTTATGATTATATATTGCCACATCGCACTATATTTTATGGAACAGTTACAAAATAAGATATACCGATTACAGGCCACTAGAATCAAAATATAAGACTAAAATGAAGAACCATAACTGCAAAAAGGAACAAACTCTTCCGCATCCAAAACCGAGAAAAAACACGTTATCAAAATTTCTTATAATAAAAAGACCAGCAAACATACAATCACTCACCAACTACCAAAAGAAATATCATAAGAAGAATGGACAATTTATTCCACATCGACCTTGCAGCAAATTTCAGGTTTTCATCACATTTCAGGAGAAACCAACAGGACAGATACAATGAATGAAAGACAGATGAGGAAAAAGAATAAGGGGCGCACCTGATTTCTGAAAATTGAGATTGAATGTTTTAGGGCTCGCGCTCTTCTCATATCCTTGGTAGAAAGTTAATTTGATAGATATAAAAGATAAGGAGAAAGGCGCGATTAATATCCACAAGTGACGGTGAAATTCTCATTCTTTTCTCAAAATCCAAGTCACCCAAATTTAGCATGTGATACACACATGGCTAATCGGAAGGTACACGACACACCACTGGTGTATAATAGTTATATGCTCCACCTGGCATACTAAAATTCAAGATATAAACCCCTCTTTAAAACTGGTGTGGATCGGTGGTCGAGAATCCGTCCGAGTGAACTGGCCAATAAAAATTTAAAAATTTTAAAAAAAATTGAAAATTTTAAAATTCATGTTGGATTCTCTGATAGAACTACTCGATCCTATTAGATAACTATTTTAATTCTCGATATTTAGGCAAAATTGGAAATAGGGTCGTCGACCGATTCTCGATCCGAACTGGTCAGTTTCAGTCTAATTTGCAAATTTTTAAAACGTAGTTATAATTTATAGGAAAAATTAGGCTTGTACTATAAAACTTTTATGGTATTATCCAATGGTGCATAGTTTGCAAATTTTAAGGTACATCGTTTTTTTCCTTTCTTTTTTAATTCCAATTTTACCTCCAATTTTTTATTTTGTGTTCTAAAATTTTGTTGAACTCTACGGTTGGAGAGCCCTAATTCTAGGGTGGTCTAATGTTTCAAACATTAAACTCGACAAAGGTTGGGCATTTCAACATTTGAAACATCAGACAGACCTTTTTTTTATTTCATTTCAATGGGATCTAATATTTTTGACATCAAATTTATTTTTTTTTATCTTTTTTTTTTATATAAACAATCTATCTGCTATTTGAAACATCAAACTGGCACCTATGATCTTTATCTTCTTCTTTTGTTTAGCTGCAAGATCGAATTAGGGTTTGAAATCCTAGCTAACATTGCGCTAGGACTCCATATCAAATACAATGCTCTAACCTTCCCAAGCTAACATTGCGCCAGGACTCCATGTCAAATACAATTCTTGTTTGTATTGTATTATTTTCTTGGTGGCTCTTTTGATTAAAAAGAGGGATGTGGCTTTTGTAGTGTTGGTTTACTCGCGCTCCATTTACTCCATGATGAGCTCAATAAATGAAGCATCTAGTGACATAAAAGAGTTTTATATGTAGTAGTGTTATTAGTATTGGATTGGTTTCCAAACTGGTAAGGCATTTGGTCCTGTCAACATTGATTCGAACAGCAGTTGATATATGTTTTCAAAAAACAAGAAAAAAAGGAATTATAGTTTAAAATTTTAAAATACCTTACAAACAAAATCATGTTTAATCCATCTGACTAGTTCAAACCGTTACAATTGGCCCAATATTAGTTTTGACCTATTTTCAACTTCTCCTAACTTTTTCTTTGACTGAACCAATCAAAGCGTCAGTTGGCAGTCCGACCAGACAAACGAGACGATCCAATCCAATCTTAGTAACTACTATATATAAAGCATTTCTATGTTAATAACTATGATACATGGGGCCTGCTTGATAACGGGAAGTACATAAATGGGAAGTTCCTCTGAAAGAAGTTACTGCAAGAAGTTCTGGGTTTCTGTGTTTGATAATCTGCTGAAATGTTAAAGAAGTTCTGGGTTTTTGTATTTGATAACTTCCTGGATGTTAAGTAAGTTCTAAGTATATGTGTTTGATAACATGTTAAAAGACTAGGAAGTTCTAAGTATTTGTGTCGCATTAGTTGTAGAAGTAATAGACAAGACGTGAAATGTTAAGATTGAGACCTAGATATTAGTTATTTATTTTTAGATTTTTATTTGTTTGGGATAAAATGTTAATTGAAAGTAAGTATGTTGGATTGAGAGAGACAGAGAGAGAGATAAATACTTTTATTGATGAGTGAGAGAATCGTCCTAGAGAGAGATATATATTTGTACAACAATTGAAGCAGATGCTGCATGATAACTTCATTGCACCTTAAAATTCAAGCAGTCTCTTGACAATCTCAAGCATAATCTCAATTAAAATATTGTGTACCAAATCATTAGTTTTCTAATCCATTGTCTTAAAATATAAATCAATATATTTTCTTAACTATTGTGGGTATACAATTTGTTGAGTCTTTTTACAATTATGAAGTGGAATAGGTTTTTAAATCTCATAAGCATGTAGTCGATGCCTTCTTCTTAAACCGAATACAAACTCTCTCTCTCTCTCTCTCTCACACACACACACACACACACATGCAAACTTATGTCAAGGCAATTATGGATTTTGTTTTCTGTATTCTATTGGACTGTGCTATAATAGCTTGAGCAGAACATACAAACACACATGCACAATTCATGCATCTATATACAAGCAGTAAGAAACCAACCCATTCAACAATAACCTGTAATAGCTTGAACACAACTTAGACATACATTCACCACTCATGCATCCATATCCCAACCTCCAAAACAAATATCATTCAACGATAAAACAACAATGGTGTTTATCCCACAATGTTCCCAACATTAAAAATAAAAATAAAATAAAATAAGAGACAACAATTAGAACTATAATAAAAACAAAGACTGGATGCTTAGGAAGACAATCTTGAGATGCTGACATGCCTTTAGGAAGACGTCAATACCTATTTCTTCCCCCTTTCACGTGGCTTCAATCCGAACAATCCGTGCCAAATATCTTCTCCAATTCATTGAAGTATATAGGCAATGACTTACCTCTATATTTTCTCACAAAAGTAAACTCATGTAAATAAAACACATTTATGTATTGAATTTGTGTAAACATTGCACTTCAACTTGCAAAACCACAAAGAAATATACAACAAATGTGTTTCAACTCACCGATACACTGAGTCCATATAGCATTCGACAATCACCATTCGATTAGCCTCATCCCAGCCAAAACCTAGTTGTCTCATAATTTGTTTTTACTTCTACGTACATTGATCCAAACTACTTGAACTTACTCTTCAGCCATTCCAAGTCATAAAAGTTTCCATAATTCTTTGCCATATACTCTTTCATCAGGTTCTATGCGCCTTTCTTGAAGCCCCGCACCCCCTTTCTTGACCTCTTTCAACAAGATATCAATGAATTGAGCCTCCTCTACATGGTTCCGCTAGCTCATATTGTTATAATAATCTTTGGCAGTTATAATAAAGCCTCGTTCATTTCTTTAGTAGGACAACTGCTATTAAGCTGATGCATGTCAACCAACATTTACATTCATGCATCCATATATAAGCATGTACAAAACCAGCCCATTCAGCAAAAACTTGTAAGAGCTTAAACATACATAATTGAAAATGCAATAGAATGAACACAACTTAATGACAAACTGTCACGACCTCGCCTCTTGACCCTACCGTACAAGCCGGAGGGCAACAAAGTGCGAGATCACGAGCAAATATAGCGAATTCCACTCAGGTGGGAGTGAGCTCAACCCATTGGAAAAGAAAGAAATCAGAGTAAACCATAAAAGAAAGCAAAAACTCCCACTAGAACCATAACAAAAGCTGGATAAATTAAAACCAAAAGCCATATAAAATATTCAGAATATTACAATTTGCCCAAGGCATCAAAGGCCCACCCACAAAAATACATAACTTCACAACAAAAACAATTATATGGCCAACGACCATCTAACACCTACAATCACAAGGAAGCTTTCTCTTCTAGCGCAGACCTTCAGTTCGCCGGTCACGATCACCACCCACCCATCCTTGATCTGCGGCTGTCAATCTATAAGGATGAGAGTAAACGGAATGAGCTATAAAGCCCAGTAAGTAGATCCAGTATCATGTGTTCCTGCCTATACACGATGGCTCATGGCTATACTCAAGATTCATATAAGTATCAATATAGAGTCATATATCACAATTATGTCACAATTATATTAGCCGTGTGTTGTGAGTGAATTCCTTTTATGGTGGAGCAATCCCAATTAGCTATCAAATCTCATATGAACTAATAATTAATTACATTCCTTCATCATAACATAGCATCATAATTACCAGTAAGCAAGCATAATTAGCAGATACTAACCAACTCACTCCCTAAAATCACCTACTCCTGAAGTAGAAGCTCTATTTATCAGGCCAAGCCAATCTCATTGCTTTTACTCTGGATTGAAGACAATGACAATGAGTAAACCCATTCGTAATGCCTTCGCACACACGCACACAATCCTCAGCGTGCTTTGGGGCTTTTGATAGGCACTTTCCTTTCAAGACATAGTTCACTTTTCTTTTTGCATTACATAGAATTTTGGGGGGTGCGACTCTCATCATACACTCATCCTAACTCCCCTCCTATCATAGGGAGTTAGGGAAACTGCCGGCACCAGTTAGCAATGCTCAAAGCACGCCACTAGATCACATATTACTTCAGAAACACTTCACGCAGCTGCCAGCACCATCATTCACACAGTAGGTGCCCTTCCCAAACAAGCAGCTGCAGACACCGTCATTCACACATTAGGTGCCCTTCCCAAACAAGCAGCTGCTGACACCATCATTCACACAATAGGTGCCCATTCACACATATCACATAAGCAGCATATTGCTATGCGCATATATCATATCAAAGGCATATCAGACAGTTGCTGGCACCATCATTCACACAGTAGGTGCCCATTCACACATATCACATAACACTTATCATAATCATAACATATCACATTACACTACCAATGGAAGACCCATTGCATAGTGCTTCACACATTACTTATCATATCGTACTTTCATCATATCATAATGGGCTTTCATTTTATAACAAAGCATGTATGCATTTCATAACAAAACTAGTATTCCTCTCATAACAGAGTAGGTGTTCATTTCATAACAGAGCATGTATTTCTACATGTGTTCACATCATAATAGATTCCACTACCAATGGATGTCCCATTGCGTAGTGTTTCATATCACATTCACATCACACCTAATTGCAACTGTGTAGGTGCATACTCAAGCATTCATTCACTCATGCTTTGCTATTTTTCAGGAATTCAGGAGCATTCACAGTATCATAAGCAGGCATATTTACTGCCTAATGATAGATAATTTCAATCTCTTTATGAAGAATTTA